ATTCCCCCCCCCCCCCCCTCCCGAGTTTCCCCTCGACAAAAGAGATCTCGCCGACCTACATTTTTCCGCACCGGCCTGTCGTAGACGCACACGACAAGATGAAACCATCACCGAAAACTCTTTTCCACCACAAGTTGGCGACATTCTCCCGTGCCCTCCCCGTGACGCCTCAAGCAAAACATGATAACGGCACAAAATATGAACACGAACGATACACGGCATGGATCTAGAAGCCCACCACGTGACGACACGTTGTAGTCTTAAAAATATTTGTTTCTTACATGTATATCCCCGCTCTTTTGGTTTCAGCGCAATTGGCGATACCGCGACGTGTTTTCCCGACTCTCGCCCGCTCCGGCGCCTGGGCCGCCATGCCCCCGGGGACTCCGTTGCCGCCGCCTGCCCCGCCGTTGCCACCATAGCCGATATTGCTACCCATCGCCCCCCCGCCTCCCCCGGCGGCTTGCATCAACGAAAAGCTGCTCCTAGAGGTGATCCCATGCCCCTTGTGTGCGGGGCGGTTCGTCAGAAGTGGCGGTGCATGAGCAGGAGGAAGGTAAGGGGAAGGTACAGTAAGTCAAGATTCTTAAAAGAGGCGTGTGTTGCATGTCTGTGTGTACGGTTTCGAGAAGTTAAGGTCAACTCTTTCCAGAACCGCTTGCTTCCTGTGGACCAGGTGTTGAAACAAACCCATGTGCGACATGTCCGTCATGAAACCTGTGAAATTTTACGCATAGCAATGCAACGTGTTTCGTGGAGAAAGGACACCCGAAGTTCCTCTTCCTACGGTAGGCGTATGCACCCCATGTGCTCGAGTGGTGGAATGAAGCCCAATGAAAAAAAAATCCAATTTTGCGGCGCACCTTCGCCCCCCCGAAACCGTTTCCGCCTCCACCTCCGCCTCCGCCGCCATTGCTCAGCCCGTTGTACTTGCTCCGAATGTTGCTGTCGTAGTAGCCGCGATTCTTCTTCTTTTTCTTTGAGGACGCCTTGGATCCACCCTGGAATACGGCGGGGAAAAGGGAGGGGCGTGAAGGACGTTCTGCATGTGCTAAGAACGCCACCTTCGATTCATGCCCCCAACACGGTGGTGGTGGTGGTGGAGGCTACGGGGGAGTTTGTAGGCGGAGAACGGCTTTTTCCGCTCGTTTGTCTCGTGGAGGAGAATGTCGTGAGAGACGTTGGTCGTCTGCTTGCGAGCCTCTCGCGCCCTACAATATGACGAAGGCGGGGATTGGCAAAAGTGGCCGCGGTTGCAACGGCGGCAACAACAACGACGACGACGACGACGACGACGACGACGACTACATCGACGACGACTACAGCAGTGGTGACACAACAGTCGGAAAGTTCCTTGTATGCCGCGTGTTTTACAGCTGGCAGAAGTTCCCGCGTGTTAGTATCGTCGTCGCGAGAGCGCAAAGGAGCGGCATCTGCATGTCAATCGCCTGCCTCCTCGTCGACTTACTAAATGCAGCATTTCCATCAATCTTACAACTTCTGGCCACGGGCTGTTTCACCACGATTGCTGTGAGAACGGCACCCTTCTAACGAACATGAGAGCACACGCTTCCACAGGACGAATATTGAGCATGAAAACACCCTGCATCAGACACCCGCCCCTTGCCATCACACAGTTTTCATGTGACGAAAAGAGATGGAACTTCTGGACCTTCGGTGACGGAAACAAGTTGTCTACAGGGAAGACAGCAAGAAGGACAAGGCAAAAGCAACGGCTGCGGCAGCCAAGGGTAGCATGTGGTTCTCGCCAAACCCTATCTAGCATGCAACAAACAACATGCTTGATGCTAACCAAAGCAATGCGACGAAGAAGCAGTTTGCACGCGGCGGCACAGTATCAAACACAGGGGCGATCACAGTACCTGCCCGACCGCCTGCCCTCTGTTTCTCCCCCCTCCTCCTCCCCCTCCC